CATATCTTTTTTTAAATTTGTCTAACCATCCTACTGAAAACTTGAACCGATCTATAGACAAATTTAGAAGCTGTGCAAAACATTTGGCCTTTTCTGTTATATTTCACATTATTATAATATTTATTATGACATAATGCATTACGCAATATGGCAATATGGCAATACAGCATTATGGCATTGCGGTTAGGGTTGTCAAATTATTATAATTTACGTAATTTGGTAAAATTTTGCGTAAGTTTTCAGTAATATAGTTTTTTATGTAATTTGTAAAAAACATGATCATATGCTCATATGATTAGTTGGATAATATATACATCAATTTGGTTAGTGAACTTTATGCAGAATCTACTGTAGTTCAATAATGCTAGTTGAGTTTTTATAGTGCCAGTGCATATGAAATTTACATAAAATTTAAGATACTGAAATTTACGCAAAATTATATGAAATGTAAAATTGTAATTTTTGTAATACAACCCTAATTGTGGCATTACGGCACTACAGAATTATAGCAATCAGGTAATATGCCGTAATTGATTCTACCAACTGGTAAAATGCCATAATGCTATAATGCTGTAATGCCGTAATTTAGTAATTCTACCACTAACTATAGTATGAGAGGTTTGTAAATGTAAACTTACTAATAGTAAGTTACTGGTAAATTACCGTAAATTACCAAATTACTGTGGAGTTAAGCTTAATTTTGGCTGGCATTAATTTATATGTATAGTCAACTTTTCTATTAAATCTTGGCTAATTATATGTGTAATCTTTGGTCAATTATATGTATAATCTTGGCCAATTAAAATTTTTTATCATGGTAATTTACCATGGTAATTTACCATGATAATTTATTATAAGTTTTAGTAACTTACTGTAAATTATAGTAATTTTACAACTCTGAGTACGAGTGACATTAACTCTAATAAAAGAAATTTCTGCAGCATAATTGTTGCTTCACCTCTACTATAAATATTTGGATTATTTTATTTGGTCTCTAAAGCCACACCATGTTAATTTTCGTTTTTCAGTACCACCGACCCAAAATTTTCAAAATTCAATTCTTTTTACAATAACAATTACTGCTATTATCATAATTCCTGAAACACCTGATAAAAATTAGCCAAATGATTTTTTTGGCCGATTCGGTTAAGTTTATGATTTCGGCATAATAGATTCTATAATTAATACGTATACATATGTGCATATGTACAGTATGTATATACGTAATTTAAGATCAAATGACTAATATGTATAAGTATTATACTGACACAAATATCTCAGGTCAAATACAGAAACATGATGCTCTTAAAGCATTGTTCGTTAGTGAATAATTGTAAAATAATTAGGGAGCTTATAATTTCAAAAATTACAACCACTTAGGCTGTCTTTTATAAATCGAGTTATCAAGTACTTTCGAAGATATGGATGTATTGAAATACTTCTGCGACAAATATTAATAAGATCAAGATTTTTTGATCAGAATCTTGAGTTACATCCTTAAACCAGTCGACAATTTTTTGACGATATCTAATATTCTTAATACAGTTGACTCTCTATAAGTGCACACTCTATAAGTGCACCTTCTCTCTTTGTAAGTGCATATCATTTGATTTTCCAATAAATTTTGTATAACATTACATAGTATGATAAAAAAATTAATTTATTAATAATACGATTTTATGATGTAATAAATAAATAAAATAACGATAAAAGTAAGTTTATATTATATTATTCTAAATTGCTTATGCTTACCAAAAAGTTAGCAGAACTATGCTCACGGATGAGCAAAGATTAGAAGTTATTAAACACAGAAATGGAAATCCAAATAAAACCCATGATGATACTATTAAATGGATAAAAAATACATATAATCTTGATATTCATCGTACTACAATTGGATGTTTATTGAAGCGAAAAAATGATATTAAAGAAGGTTCTTTCTCAAAAAGAATAAAACCAGTTCAACATAAAGAGCTTGATCATGTATTGCATGAGTGGATTATACAATATCAAGCTCATATAACAATAACAGATGCAATTTTAACAGAAAAGGCCAAATGTTTTGCACAGCTTCTAAATTTGTCTGTAGATCAGTTCAAGTTTTCAATAGGATGGTTAGACAAATTTAAAAAAAGATATAGAATTTCTAAAATTAAGCGTCATGGAGAAGATGCTTCAGCCGATCATAATGCTGCAGATACTGCAATTCCTGGGCTAAAAATTTTATTAGCTCAATATAATCTTCAAGATATATACAATATGGATGAGATAGCATTATTCTATCATCTTGAACCTGATACTACACTGGCTACAACAAGTTTAAAAGGCAGAAAAAAAATAAAAATGATTAACAGTTGCTTTTTGTATAAATGCTGATGGAAGTAATAAGCATGAACCACTTGTAATTGGAAAATTTCTAAATCCACGATGTTTTAAGTATGTTAATCGAAATAACCTATGCGTAACATATGAGGCCAATAAATCTGCTTGAATGAATACAATAATATTCAATAAATGGATACAAGATTTTGATCAAAAAATGACTGGGCGTAATGTTATCCTTTTAATGGATAATGCTGCAAGTCATAAACTTGATGGTATAACTCTTAGAAATACAAAGCTACATTTTTTTTCTCCTAAAACAACAAGTAAAATTCAGCCATTAGATGTAGGAATAATTATATCATTTAAAAGTCATTATAAATCCCAATTTGTTCAATGGATTATAAATAAATATGAGGCTGAACAACATAATGAACAAAAAAAAATAATCTCAACATACTTACTGCAATAAAGTTTATTGTAAATGCTTGGAATAATATTTCTTCAACAACGATTAAAAATTGTTTTAATCATACAAAAATTCTTCCAGAAATTTTAGAATCAGAAATTAATAAAGAGATAGGAGTAAATACTGAGAATTCATTTACAACTACTAATGAACTAAGTGATATTGAACTTCAAGTAACTAAGGAAGTTGATGAATTTTTAGAACAAAATATAACTAATATGCTGCCTACTGATCAAGAAATCATAGATTTAGCAAGTGAAGAAGTTATAAACCAGGAACCTGCAGATTCTAATAATGAAGAGCATAAGGTTACAAAAAAAAGAAGCATTGGATGCACTTGATACACTTTCTTTATATCTCTTGCAGCAAAAAAATGACACAAGAGAATATATTAATTTGATTGCAAAATTTAGTGAAGTAATTAACAAAAAATAAATGAATTTTTTTGTTAATTCGAATAATTAAAAACATTTGATAACTATCTGCGGGGGATTTTTTTAAATTTACAAAAACTTTGATAGCAATTTGAGCTTCGGTTTTGTATTCATAAAATTCGCTTTATTAATAAAATTTTTTTAATATTATATTTTTTTTTATAATTATTCCGTTTTACAAATTTAAACTAAGCCACAATATTTTCTCTCTGTAAATGCACAATTCTATAAATGCACATCCCCCGATAACATGCACTTATAGAGAGTTGACTGTAATTCTTTGAGCTGAGTTTATTCAATTTCTACAGTATTACAATCATCAAGCATTTCTTTTATTCACTATTGTAATTCAAACTATTCTTTTCAATGACATGATACTACAAATACTAAGTATATCCATAATGACTTCTTCTTCATGATAATTTGAAACAAAATAATTTTTATTATAGAATATTATGTAATAGTGAGCTCTTGTATTGCTTAAATATATATAATAAGTTGCAAATTATATCAACAAATAAAAGGAATATAATAATAAAATGATTTATAAAGCTTTTTAGAATGTTTTATAGAATAGGTGGGCAAACTCCGCCAACTCCGATATTAAAAAATTAATGATTACTAATCATTAGCGAAGCTTATTTCTTATATTGCCCACCTATTCTATAGAACATCCGCTTTGGATTCGCTTAATATCATCATTATAAAAGCCTTAATGTATGCTATTATATTTCTAAATTACTTGTTTAATAGGTTCTTAATAGCACAATTAACGAGCTTGATAATAGGCTAATAAACTCCTATTATTGACCTAAAAAAATTTGATTATTAGGCTTATATAAAAATGTACCAGTACGATTTCCGCAAAGTAGGTCGGAGTTGTAAATTTAAAAACCGAATCGGATTGAATTTAAATCGGGTTGCTTGTATTATACTATAATTTTAAAACCGGTATAATAGAGGTTTACCACCGAATTTAACGTTATTTACTATAAAACCGATTTACTATTAAAATCGGTTGCTATTAAAGCCAGTTTACTATTAAAACCGGGTTAACTCGAATTTAAAGTTGAATTAGATAGACCGGTTCCGACCTCTACTCGACAATCACCTATCTAAAATCGTTAAAAATTTTTTTATTCTGATTCTATATAAATGTATGATTAAACTAAAAAAAATCATCGATGTTAAACAGTTGATATCTTAATTAAAAGTTTGAAAAAAAAAAATAATTACAATTGAAATAGAACAGTTTTTTCATAAATTAGAGGATCACAGTATTTTTAGTAAAATTTTATTTTTGATATGATTAATGGATCAAATATACAATCAGACCTCGATATAATCACTGGGTTTGTGGCCAAAATTCAATGTGACTAATGTGATAATGCCTATACAAAAGTTAATTTTCTTATGCTTTATAATAGTTGGTAAATGAAAATAGAATTTTTTTTTTTATAATTTGTGACTATATCAAGTGACTATATCGGGGTCTGACTGTAGTATAAAGGACCCTATTAATAAACTTTATGATTTATAGTAGGGATCCTCTATAATATTTGATCAGATTAAATTTTACATAATGAAAAATTTTTTTAAAGTATAAAGTTATATGATGTGTTATGTTATGGATGTGATAATAAATTTGTTCTTATTTGTATCAATGATTTAACTAACGGGAAAAATTCGTAATGAAGTGTAGAAAATTGCAAGCAACCAAGATCACTAACATATGGATAATAATTTATATTGTACAAGGAATGGTTACTTTTGACCTAAGAAGTGTCTACACCTCTAGCGGCGATGGAGATTTCAACATATTTTTAGAGTTCTATATTAATAATCTGATAAGTATTCATAATCATAAATAATAGATCACAAATTAAAAGCAAGAAAGTTTAGAATTACCATTAATCAAGAACACGTCAATTCAGGAAAATAAAGTAGACGACTTGTGTACACAGCTTCAGGATGGATGACCACTTTAGGAAAATTATTGGTATTTAATTGTTTTCCAATTAAATCCCACCTTTTCTCTTCTGCGTTGAAAAACTCTTCCGAAATGGGAGTAGTATTTGGATCATCACAAATACATATAATCCATTTTCCCAATAAATTATTCAATTCTGAAGCAGTCGGCCGATTTGAGGGATTTGAATCCCAACATCTTTCCATTAATTCACGATACAGATTTGGAATATCTTTAATAACCTCATCAACCTCTGGACGTAAATTTTCGTGACAGATAAGTCTTGCAAGTTCGAGGTCATGTGGTCTATCATGCCAAGGTCGAAGTCCAGATGCCAAAGTCCACATGATAATGCCGAAGCTATAGATATCAGAAGATTGGTTTGGTTGTTGACCACATAAAACTTCTGGTGCTATAAATGGAAGAACTCCATACAATTGAGAAATTGAACGGGGTTTATCGCAAGGGCCGTTAAGACCTACATCAGATATACGAGCATCTGTTGATATTGATTCATCTTCAATCAACAAATTGCCACCATGCAGATTTGAATGGCAACGTTTTTCGGAGTGGATTTTCTCTAGGCCACTAGCCACACCCCAAAGCATGTCTATTATATCTCTCCACGTTATTATACCTTTTACTTTATCAAGAAATTCATATATATTTCCATTATCATAAAAACGCATTACAAACATAATACAACCGGTTGAATCACGAGTTATTCCGAAACAATCGGCAAGGTAGCCATTTTGTAAACATTTACAATGTTCTTCTATCTTATATATCAAAAAAAGGGTTAAATATTATATAAATTAAAAATTTATAGTTGGGTGTGATTTCAAATCTTCACATGGGCATGATACTAAATAGTCACATGGAATGACTAGTTACATGTGACATGTTAAACGCGTTACTAATGTTTTTCATGTGAATGATATTTTTCGTGTAAATGATATTTTTCGTGTGAATGATATTTAGCATCACATCTCGTGTGGTTATTTAGCATCACATCTCGTGCCCGTGTGAAGATTTTTCATGACCAATCCTAACGATAAAGAATAAATACCTGTACCAAAAAATCCAAATGTATGTTTTGAGAATTGTCTAAACGTTTCAAAGCGACATCAATAGGACCGCTACGCTCCCATCCCTGATCATCTTCATCCCAATTCCATCTTGGACCTTCCAACCATTTTGCTTTATAAACAGTTGAGAAACCACCTCTAGAAACATATTTAATCATATCGAATTGGCTGTAATCAATAAATTCCAAGTAGTCACAAGTTTGAGTGGCATTTAATTGAGTACGTTGAATTAACTTGTCAATGTGATCATTAAAGCTTGTCCAAGTTTTGAAATTGGAAATCATATATGAGGTTTCGCAATCCTTACACCAACCAAAACTACACCTTTCTTTTCCACATTCTATACAAAATTTGAGTTCATCACTTTTATGAAATAATCTTTTTCGAGCTGTCGCCGTTTCAGTCATTTTATTAAGTGAAGTAACTTTTTTAATTCCTTTTTTCAGATTATCGATTCCCCTGTACTTAATATATATTATTTAACAATTGAAGGACACTTAATCACGTGAACGTGTCAAATTTAGGAAGGTAGAATGGTATAGGCGTAATAATATATAAGGTGATTGCAACAAATATGAAGCAAGTGAGTTTAATCTGGAAATATATTCAAGAGCATATTTTAAGGTTAATAAATAAATACTCACATGGCTGTTTTTTTTTTCTTTTTTCCTTTTTTTTGATTTTTTTTTGATTTTTTTTTTAATGATTTTTTGCTTCGTGAAAAACCCAACTATAACAAAAAAAAAAAAATTAGTTTGCATGTATATGGTATTCAGGAGTCTGTGGCAGAAATCAACTTGATCTAAAAAAAGTTATTATATGATAGAAAAGCAATATTAACGTTAATAAAGTTATATATAGATATATAGATAAGAAATACCTATATATATACTATACAATATATACTATACAATTTATATACTATACAATTTATATACTATACAATTTATATACTATACAATAAATATATTTATGATGACAATAGAATTTCTACCACAGATCCCCTGATAGACACTCCAATGCAAAATATTTTTTAAAAAAAACCTACGCTCACTCCTAAATCATCAACCAACCCCAAATTCTAAAAGACGAAATAAATTTCGTCCGAGTAAGTGACAAATTACACGGTTAGGCTTTATATAAAAATTGGGTTCAAATTTAATCACGAATGTGTAACGATACCGTATGATGATCATTAAATACAATTTTATTAAAGACTTAAATACTAAAAATTATATAACGATAATTCCCAAGATAATCTCAAGTTTATTTAATCTTTCTATTATGTTTATGAAAGTAATAAGTCATTTAAACAAAGGAACAATATATATAAAGAATTAGTTTTTTCTTTGATGGAAATAGAAAGAAAAAAATCAACCGGTTAGTATAATATAAATATTAAGGTGCCTTATTTTCAATAGCCAAGATATTTAGGGAAAGTGGTTTGGAATACATAAATCGATCTTAATTTTAAATTTTACAGTCTGATGACCTCACGTTTTGGTAAATGACATTCTTTTTAGGCAAGACTAGATTGAGGATCCTACGATTGGTAATACAATTTTGATTCGCATTCCATTAGAGAATTCCATTTGGACGTATACGTAAGTATGTGCTTATTTACGTATTTTTCCTATATGCCAAAAATTAGAGTTACACTCATTACCGTATACACCCTATCGATTTGTAATTATATCGATATAGACATGATGCAGGAAAAGAGTGGGATTTATCGTTATCACACTTGTTTAACTTTATTACAAAATCAAACAAATAAATTTGACATCTATCGCTACGGATTGTATTATAAGATTGTATGTTATACGTTCCACAAATAATGAAAGTACAAACGCTTTCATTTCGCTGAGAAACTTGCACAAATACAATGAATATGCATATCTAAATGAAAAATCGAAATGTCGAGAAATTTGATAATCCTCTTTAAGGGATAAAATATCATTGTCGTCGTCAATCCTTTCTTACCATCTACCAAATTTATTATTGGATAAACCTTATTTAAATTACGTCTAAATTCATATTAGGTAATTTGAATACAGTTTTTTTTTTAATTCATAGCAAATTATGAATTATTGATACACTTAGTTTCTTTTAGTTTCTTTTATGTGTAGATTAAAATTTGTAGACGTTATCTTATGAGCTTTATTAATGCATTATAGGTTTATCATGTTTTAAATGCATACGTATTATATTTGATGGAAATTAGTAATGACTCACTCGGCAATGGTTAAATCAAGTTCCACATAAGGATTGGATTTTGTATAAAAATTGCTCAAAACCATATCGATATATTTATTTAGACTCATAATGTAAAATCTATAATTATGTTTCGATACATAAACAATCGTTCGAGTGATAAGAACATTCATTATAAATAGTGAGATGTCTTTTAGTTCTATATACGTATCATTATAACTTGATCGTATATCACAAATTCAACACTAATTATTTCAATCTTTAATAATCAATAATTTGTTATAACTGTATTTTGCGGACTACACACCGGACAATAAAATTTAAAAAAGATTTCTTAACGTTAATACGTAGTTTCGACCATTCTTCTGCCCAAATAAGTCCGTTCATGAACATGAATGAAATGACATTGAGTATATGCTCATTAATGCATGTTAATGGCTATCAAAAATGTGCATTGATGGTATAAAATAGAATTTACTGATTCGTGAAAGAAATTCATTAAGTTCCTGAAAATTCCTAAACATTACGCTATGTGATATTTTGTCATTAATTAAAATTTATTAAAATTCAACTCTTTATCAAAGTTCCCATTTTTAGTGCATAGCCATGCTTGAAGTTGTTTGTACTTAAAACATGCCCCTGAAACTGATCTTTAAAAATAGTAAATAATCATTAGCTTAAGTACAGTACTGAAATATAGATTAATCATATAAATTACTATTTAAGGTAATGCATGTAATCCCTAAAATAGGAAATGCTTAATGCGGAGTTGACTCATACGTAATATTTTATTGAATTATCAAAGACCACTTTAAATTAGAGTTATTTATACTACACAAGATTGCCTCTCAGACTTTTTATTAATATTTTCAGGGTAGGTTCAGACTGCCGTTTTTTATATTTTTCAAAATTTTCATTTTTTTTGTTTTGCTTCGTTGAGAAACCTGATTAAAGCATGCATTGTGATTTGGACCTTTAACATGAGATTTCCTAACCGTAGTAATGTTAATCTACACTTTAATTGTAAGTATGCAAAATTTTCAACTTAGGATAGCAATATATGTTCATTACTAATCTAACATAGATGGTTGAAGACTATGTACAGTATGGGAGAGGATAAGATATCCAGTTTTTATATAATAAATTTTAAATTGCTATAGCTTTTTTAAAACAGGTTAAAATAAAAGTTCCTTTTTCAGTTTGGCTTTAATATAAGTTTTTAAAAATTTACTTAATTTTGATTGGCTAATGTTTTTTTTATTATAACTTTTTATTAATAATAAAAAAAAGTGGTCTTTTGATAACGATAACACATTTCAATACAATCGCTACGTATATGACTCATGATTACACATTTTTGAAAATCAAAACCGGATTTTTATGTGAGAGTTAGAACCGGTTTTATTTTCAACATATGAAAAACAAAACCGGTTTCAAACTTTATATGACAACTATAAGAAATCTGATTGGTTAATAAAAAAATGAGTTCGAAGTAAAAAAAATATATATAGTTGTAAAACAAAAGGCATATATATAATAAATAACCTTTATTAACTAAATCGCTTGCTAACTATATAGTACATAATAGTTTAATACCAAATGAAACTCCCTAAGTGAGTTTTTTCATAAATGTGTTCCTCTATATATATAATCTCTTAAGTGCATGGATATAATCTAGTAATTAGAATTAAATAATTTGGTATCATAGATTTGTCTTATTACGATGAATTAAATAATAATAAAGTGACTTAATTCTACTTGCTAAATCAAAAGATATAATTAATTAACGATTATATATATATAAAACCAAAAAAATTTGATAGGTGGAAATATAGTGGCCAATATTTTGATATTGAATAACTTTTGATCCACCAGGTCATTTTGGGTGATTTACCACCAAAATGACCGGCTCAATGAGACGATTCTAATGGATCCAAAATCATTAAAATCCAGTCGCAGGATCCCGAGATAATTAAAGATTTGTTTATAAAAAGTTACAGATTTATTATTTAAAATAAGAAATTTATAATGATTTCGGGATATCGTAATTGGATTTTAATGATTTTGGGGCTCATTAGAATCGTCTCGTTGAGCCGGTTATTTTGATGGTAAAATCATCCAATATGACCTGGTGGATCAAAAGTTATTCTCCATTAAAGATTGTATATCGATATATTTTTAATAATTATTATGACATCTTGTGATCGGAATCGGATGGATTTTATATCATTCGACTCGTCTCGATGAGACGAATCGATTGGTATAAAATTCATCTGATTCTGACCACTGTATCACGAGATATACTGGTTGGCCACAATACCCTCATTTACCTTAAGCCTGTAACCGTATATGTTCTGTGCATATTTTATATTTAAATATGCTGTGACCTTAAAACTTAGTTGAGTAATTTCTATTTAGCGTTAGAAAAAAAAACTGATTGTAAACAGATCATTCTGGTTATATCAGATGTCGACATTTTTTAAAATTTTGAACTTATCTGCTATATACTTAATATAAAATGCCAATTTCTTTATTTTTGAGAGTGTCAACATAACCAGAGTGACGTGTACATATTGGCTAAGATACAATTTATGTTCCGCACGGACCAGTTCCGGGCAGGTTTTTTAAAGATCCGGTCCCGAACCGAGCCGAATCCGGGTAAGACTCGAGAAGTACATATCGATATGCAGACTCCGCATATAATTTTATTTCTTCAGTCGCGGGTCGAATTTCAGACGCCGACAAGACCAACACGAGAGACCTGCTTTATGAAATAAAAAATATCCCTGTTACTAACTTTGGATTATTTCTTTGTTCTCCAGATTATTTTCATTGTATATACTGTATGTATGCAATGTGTATGTAACAAAATATTTAGTGATATTGGCCAAAATTCAAACCCATTATGGTGAACTATCTATACATGGCGTAGAAACTATTTCAGCATTGATTTTTAATATAAAATTACAGAGTTATTTCCGAAATACTGTAACTTGGATATTTCATATCAAAAATCAAATACAGTCAGTCATACCTGGGTTATATAATCTCATTTTTCTCTAATTTTTTGGAGACATAATTAATAATTCAATATACGTGTAAAACATATAAGAAAAGGACATTTATTCTGCTCAAATATGGGGATATAACCGGTACAACTGTAGTTTCTACGCCATGTAGAGAATTACTATGA